TCCTTCCCTCCGAGAGGGACTGAGGGACCCGCCGCCGAACTGCCGCCAAAGAGCTGGACATGCCGCCCCTTCCCCTTGGCCACCCCAAGCACCTGCTTCCCGCGCTGGTACCTGGAGCCGGCCCTGCAGGCACATCGCTGACGTCCCTATAAAGTCCATTGTCGTCTAGGGGATGCTGGCGTCTCTGTAGGTCACCCCATGATGAGCGTGGGGCTAAACCCCATGGAGCTGCCTGCAGACACAGTGCTGGCCAGTTAGTGCAGTGTCCTTTGGCACTGTCTGCATCCCACCCTGCTGCCTGTGGGGCCAGGCCACCAGCTCTCTGGCCGAGCACCTCTCGGGGGGCAGCTGCACGCCCCTGGGCCCTGACTCTGCTGCTCTCTCGGGCAGGGGTGGCAGACCAGCTGCAGACCAACTTCGCCAGTGACCTGCGGAGCATCCTGAAGACGGTGTTCCACATCATGACATCCCAGCCCGAGGCCCCGGTGGTGACAGATACCAGCCGTGAGTGATCCTCCTCCTCCGTCAGCTGCAGCCTCTCGGGAGCGGGTGGTTGTGAGGGGCTGGCACAGAACACGCTCCTCCCATCGGTCTTGTCTGTCACTCGCTGGTTACTAAACTTAGTGTCCGTGCCAAGCAGGGAGCCCCTTGCATGATGCGGGCAGCCAACTCTACACCTGGGGAGGGTACAGGGCTGGGGAGGTGCGGTGGCCATGCACACGCCTGAAGCAGCACCCACCCAAAGGAGGGGGTGGGATCGGAGTTACTACAGAGAATTCTTTCCTGGGTGCTGGCTGGGGAGTCCTGCCCACATGCTCAGCGTTTAGCTGATCGCAGCATTTGGGGTTGGGAAAGAATTTCCCTCCAGGGCAGCTTGGCAGAGGCCCTGGGGGGTTTTCGCCTTCCTCTGCAGCGTGGGGCACGGGTCACTTGCTGGAGGATTCTCTGCACCTTGAGGTCTTTAAACCACGATTTGAGGGCTTCAGTAGCTCAGACATAGGTTAGGGGTTTGTTACAGGAGTGGGTGGGTGAGATTCTGTGGCCTGCGTTGTGCAGGAGGTCAAACTAGATGATCATAATGGTCCCTTCTGACCTTAAAGTCTCTGAGTCTGTGATGACACCCCAGGCTGTGTTACTGGAGACTGTGGGGCACAGCAATTGCCACGGAGCATGTGGCTGGCATCTAAAGCTGCTGGACTGTCTGGGAGCCGATGTGCGGCACCAGATACACAATGTGGGACTAAGAGCAGCCTTGTGCCGTGGGGCCCCAGCCCCCTCTGCCCGTGGGGCGTGCGCCTGCTGGCACACTGCGGGGTTGCGAAGCAGGGAGCTGAGCCCTTCCCTGCAGCCAGGTGTGCTGTGAGCCACTCCTGCGGGCATGGTGCTAACGCTTCCCCTTGCGCCGCAGAGGAGGAAGAGGCGGGAGAAGCTTCGCCCTTGGCAGACTGTGCTCTGTGCTCCAGCCGCGGGGAGGGGAACGGGACCAGGCGAGGAGACGGTAAGAGGGGTAGGGTGTGACTGGGGTCCCTGCTGGCCCCGAATTGTTGGCGAAACAAACTCTTGCTCGGTCCCTGCTGTCAGCTAGCAGGGTCCTGCTCCCGGCACCCCCCCAAGGCCTGATCCCACCCTGGCCTCCTGCTCCAGACAGGTCCAGTTTCCATGAGCAGCTCTTGGATTGCTGCATAAGGGCACCGGGGCCCACTGTGATCACCGAGTCGGCCCTCCTGTGCACACAGGCCAGAGGCCCCGCAGCAATTCCTGGCTGCCTGGAGCGGCGCGTAGGAGAGCAGTGGGCTGGGTTTACATAGTCCAGGGAGGGGAGATTCGCCGCGGCCCTAGATACTAGCTGTGCCAGTGGCTAGTTACCCGAGCGCGCCCCCAGCACAGACTCTGACCTCACTTGCACCCTGCCGAACCGGCCCAAGCCCCGTTCCTTTCAGGGGACAGGGCCCTTAATGCCCCCTCAATGTAGCACCCCCCAGGCTCCCCGCCTGCACCGCTGCCAGCACAGCCACCCCAGCCCTGCTCTCCCCAGCCAGACCCCAGGTTCTGTTAGCCTCGCCTCAGACAGGCCGGCAGGGCCACCCCTCCCCTGCAAACCCCTTCTCCTGCCCCCAGGGACCTGCCTTGGGCTGCTTCTCCTTGAGCTTTTATCGCCCCCAGGTGCTGCCCTGCCCTCCTAATTGGCCAAGCCGAGAGCCCCTGTTCTGGCCCGGGGCCGGCCCCCTGGGATGCCCTCACTGTGCAAGGTATCGAACCGTTGGAGCAGGACCTGGCTCTCCAGCGTGCTCCCCTCCCAGCTCTGCGCAGGCCTGGCCCCTCACCTGAGGATTGGTGCCGTGAGGCTCCGTCCTCTGGGCTCTCCCGGGAGCTGCCTCTCCCTCCGGCTGGCCCAGGGTTAGGGTGCTAGCCTGGGACTCTGGAGCCCTGGCCTCAGTTCCCTGTGAGGGTGGCAAGTGGCCCAGTCCCGTCAGCGACATGGAGCCACAGCGCTGCCGTGAGGAGCAAGCCAGCCTGGGAGGCGCTTGGGGGTTCCCGTGATGGGGGCCGTCAGTACCTGGCTGGCCCTCGCCGTGTGAGCCGCTCTGCCCGCCCCCTGCTCTGCGGGTGGCACTTGTTGCTGGCATGCAGCGGGATTTGATTTCTTCATGCATCTCCTGGGGCCCGGCTCATCTCACCAGCCGCCCTTCTCCTGTCCCTCCGCAGGCACCTCCAGGCTGCCCGAGTGGGTGCCGGACGGCACATGCAGCCAGTGCACAGCATGTCGGGCACCCTTCACGGTGATCCGCCGACGGCACCACTGCCGCAACTGTGGGAAGGTAGGCAGCCGGGCTGTGGGCAGGAAGCTCTCCGCCCTGCAGGCCTGCGCTGGGGGCTCCTGCCCGGGTGAGGCCTGTGGTGCAGTGAGGAGGGGTAAATGAAGCCCCTGGGCAGCTCAGAGAGGCTCCTCCCCAGCCTTTGAGCGGGTGGTGGGGCCCACGTTGGGACTGGCTCCGTGGATTCGCTGATGCAGGAACAGGCAAGTGCTCACAGCTGCTGCCCTTGGGCACACTGGGTGTCCCTGCAGTGGGACAGAGCTGGATTCCCAGCCGGTGCCCCTCACTCATGACTCGGTTTCTTTCCCTGACAGATCTTCTGCTCTCGCTGCTCCCAGCACACGGCGCCGCTCCCTCACTACGGCCTCCTGAAGCCAGTGCGTGTCTGCGCTCACTGCTACACCACGCACCTCCCTGCCAGCCCCCAGCCCCCCAGCCGCCCCTGAGCTGCTCTCGGCTGCCTGCGTGGACCATCACACCCCCTCTGCCTCAGAAAGCGACCAAAGCTTGCTCCGGGATCCCGGCAGCCTGCAGAGAGCACTGGGACACTGCACAGACCTTGTGGGGCGCTCCCGGAACGGCCCTCGCTACTTCTTGCAATGGAGTTTGGAGCTTTACGTCAAGAAATCGCTGTCCGAGCTGGAGGGTGGGCTGTGGAGACAGCAGATCCCCGTGTGCACCCTCGCTGGATCTGAGCCAGGCAGCCGCACTCCCGCTGCCTCTCGGTAGGAAAGGAGCCCACAGGGATGGTGCCTGGGCCGGTGTGTGCTGCACTCCAGCCGCTCCTGCTGCTTGCTCTGAGCTGACCCCACTGGCAACAGAACCGGCTCCACGGGACCCGGCTGGCCTGGCCTGAACTGCTCCTCCCTGTTCCTAGTTAGAGGCGTTGGGACAGGCAGGGTCTGCTTCCTGAAGTGACTGCAGAGAACGCAGCCTGGGGCTGGCCACTAGCTTCGCCCAGCAGCCCCTGCCTCTCGTGCCACTCACCCAAAGCTGGATGGGTTCAGCAGCTTGGTTAGTGTCCCAAGGAAGCTCTGGGCCCGGCAGAGCTGATGCTCTGGGGACATGGCTCTGGGCCTGCCCCGCAGGGTGCGAAGCGCTGGCTCTGGTGACAGTGGCCAGCCTCCCCTGCAGCAGCAAGGCAGGGCGGGGGCTTAGGAACAGGGGGAGGCCTCCTCCTCTCTTCTCTCCATCCCCCCCGCCCCGTGCTGTGGGAGGGGAGCATTGTCCTACTCGCTGAACAGCTCTGCAGCCCCTGGGCCTGGTGCCAGGAGCTGGCCCGTCCTCGCACCCGCTGCTTACAGCAGGGCCTGGGAAACCTCCGTGTTGTGTCTCGAGTGCTGCCCAGCCTTCCTCGGGGGCAAGAGGGGCTCTGGGTGCTGCAGGGTCTGCCCAGCCGAGGGCAGCAGCTAACAGGCACGGAGCAGGATAGACGGCAGGCAACTGCCCCGTGGAGTGCAGAGGGAGGGGCTGCCCCTGGAGGCCCCAGTGTGCACAGGCCCCTGGCTGGCCCAAGGGGGTGGCTGCAGGTGGTTCCTGAGCTGTACCTTGTCCCCTGCCAGTGTGTGTGGGGAGCGTTTCTCTTCCTCTTTCCAACCAGGCTCTCAAAGCGTTCACACTTGCCCCTCCCAAGCCCTGGGGTGGGATAGGCGCCTCTGGCCTTGCATGGTTCTGCTGCAGAGCAGGAGCCTGGCTCGGAGCTGCGGGCTGGGCTTGGGACACTGCCGCTGTTCTGGGCCCAGGCTGTAGCCTGCCCCTGGGTAGGGGCTGTAGAAAGCTCTGCCAGCAAGACTGGATGAAGGCTCGTGCCCCTGGAAGAGTGGCCGCAGCCAGGGCCGGGCACCCACCCGTGGCTGGCGTGGTGTAGCAGGCTCTCGAGCCAGCTCCCAGTCAGTCCCACGCCTGCCAGCTTAGAGTCTAGTAAACGAACCTCAACCCAACGTCCCCCTTCGGCCCTGCCTGCACTCTGCGGCCTCCCCCGCCCCGGGGCTCAGCCCCATCTCGCTGACCACGAGGGGCACCCAAGCGTTTATTAAAAAGTGCGTCCAAGCACCCAGCTGGGCTGGAACGTAGTACAAAGCTTCTGGCTCTAACGCGCCTACTTAAGCCACAAAGGCAAACGTTATGTTTTGTTTCAGTGGCTCTTGTCCCTGTCCCGCCTGGCAGGTGGCAGGAGCTGGGTACCTGCACCCATGACTGGCACAGGTTGTGCACAAGCAAAACAAAGCCGTTGGTGAGGTTTTCACGTAATGCAGGAAACTAGGAACATTAGCTGCAGCTGGATGTTCAGGATTAAGCCCTGAACTGTGGAGCCAGGTGACTGTGGGGGAAGGGCACGGGGCATTATTACACACCTGTTTTCAGGATCCAAGTTTGCCACCCAGAGAAAGGGGGGTGGTGGTGGCTGAATACAGCACCCCTCAGTTCCCAGGGGGGGCCCTGGCTGGCTGGCTCTGGGAGGAAGCCAGGCACAGGCAAGCCCAGAAAACATCCCTTGTGCCGCATGCTTGTGGAAGTGGGACTTGGCCCTGCGGGATGACTTTACAATGGGGGCCGGGTGTGGGGTTGTCCGAGGAACGCAGGACCCTTGAGCTGTATGGTCCCGCTCGGCCCTGGCTCTAAATGCAGGTGGTCACCAATTGTCTGGATTTCGACCAGAAAGTTGTTACCACAGGGGGGGGGGAGGCACCGGGGCAGTAACCCTTGCCAGCTGTGGGCCTGGTCTGGGGGGGCGTTTTGCCCCCCCACCCCTGATTTCTGCAAACACTGAGCTGGGCTTGCTCTGCTCAGCCTGTGTGTGGGAGGCTCTGTCCTTCCCATGCTGCGCTGGCTGCCTCAGCCCCCCTCAGCTGAGGCAGGCAGCTCTGGGGTGCTGTCTCCTGGTGCCCGCAGGCATGCCCGTCTACCTGCGCTGTCCTGCTGCTGTACAGCAGTGAGTGCCTGGGAGGGGCAGGCCAGGGGACAGTGGGGAGAGGAAAGGGGATGGGCAGGGGGAGTTGACAGGTGTCCAGGTGTCACTTAGGGTTACCCGGGGTCCAGTTTCTGGTCATTAACCTGCGCCAGCCCCTGCTCAGCCTGGGTGTCTCCTACCTGCAGGTGCCAGGTGGGCTCCTTGGGGGATCCAGCAAGGGAGAGGAGGGAGGGATGGGGGCGGGGCCTCAGGGGTCCAGTTATTGGCAAGGCTGCACTGAGCCCAGCCTGTGGGGTTTGCGCGGTGGCTGGCACGGGGTGCCGGGGGAGCCGGCTGGGCTGGGCTCGCTCAGGCTCTAGGTCCTCCCACAAGCCGGGTGGTGGCCAGGCCCGGGGCAGGTGTAAGTGGGGAAGGGCACGTGGCTGCCCTGTGCCACCCTGCCCTGCCCGGCTGGGGGCTAGCCCAAATCACCTCCACTCCCGCACTGGGGAGGAGAGCGCGGAGGTGGGCTGGAAATTGCCTGCCTCAGTGGGCTGCTGGAGAAACCCAGGCACCATTCCCAGGGCGCAGGGCCTGGGGGCACCTCCCTTTGGCTGTTGGAGAGAGCCGGGGCCAGCTCCAGGGAGCCAGCTCACAGGAGTTAGATGCCCGGCTCACCCACAAGCCTGGCTTGGCTCCCACAGCTGGGATGGCTGAAGAGGGATGTGGGGGCTTGTGGCAGGAACAGCTGGGGACAGAGGTGGAGGGCAGGAGACCCACCCGTGGCTCACCAGAGGGCTCTGCTCATTGTCCCGAGCTCAGCTGAGACAGCTGCTTGGGCTGGCAGCGGACTCCGCTCGGACCCATCACAGCAGCAGTGAGCAGAGGGTTCCAATTACACCCCCCTCAGCCGCACCTCGGGGTGAGCCGCAGGGAGCTGGGCTTCTCCCGGCCCGGTGGCGTGGTGCTGAGCAGCAGCGCTGATGAGCTGTGAAGCCCAGGGGGGCTGTGAGTCAGAAGGCTCCTAGACATGGCCTAGCACAAAGGCCAAATGTGAGGGTGTTCCCAGCAACCCAGCCTGGTGCCTTGAAGCTGGAGGACCCGGTACAGAGGGCACGGAGGTTGGACAGGCTGAGGTGTGAGCAGTTGCTCTCCGCTCCCACCAGCCAGGGAGTCAGGGACCCCAGGCTCTCCCAAGCACTGACCAAGGCCAATGCCACAGAACCCCAGGGCTGGGCCAGCCCCTCCCCTGGCTGCAGCTGGTGCCGGTAACACACTCAGCTCTGGCTGCTGGCAAATCCTCTGCCCCACAGCCCGAGCTGGGGCACAGGCCCATGGCCTGCTCCTCCCCCCACAATCCCACAGCCACTTCCATGCCTCTGAGGCTGTAGGGGGGCTGGGCCAGGCAGGGGGCTGTGAATGGGCAAAGCCCACCTCTCGTGGCTTGGCTGGCTGGGCCCAGGCATCGCTGTCAGCTCCAGTTGGGGCTGCCTCCCCCCGCCCACCCCGAGGCCGAGACAGATGTGGAAGGACTGGCGTTAGGAGGCAGTGATGGGGAAGTACTGCTCAGTTTCAGCACCGGCAGGGAACACAGCTGCTCCAGCACATCTTGGTTATTCCAGGTGGTGCCCTGAGCGAGTGCTCCCCCCACGGGCCTCTCTGGGCAGGTCCTGCAGGAGCTCACCACACCAAATCCCAAGGGCTCTCGTCCCAGGATTGTTTCTTCTGCAGTGCCTGCCGTAGCAGGGTATGCCCCCCTCACTACAGCTGCAGAGTCTGCTGCAGGAAAGCCCCCTACCCTCCCACCCCCTTGGGCCATAGGCAAGGGGTGTGCAGAGCCTGGCATGAATCTTTCCAGACGAACCCCAGGCTGAGGGCCCCCTGGGGGGGAGCCTGGCCAGCTTCGAGGGAGCCTAAACCTCACTAGCTGACACGGGGCCTGGCTTCCAATAGCTAAAGTGGCTGGAGCTGCCAGGCTAGGGCCTGTGGGAGAGGGGACAGTCACCCTCTGTGATTGGGAGCAGCCTGTTGCTGCAGGGGGCATGCAGACTTGTGCCCGGGCACCTTGCTCTGCTGCTGGGGCAATAAATACTGCACTTCGGGTGGGAGGAGACAACCCAGCTCTCCCTCTGGACAGAGAGAAGCCTTCATTGTAAATAGGGAAGCAAGTGCGCTGCTTGCCTTCCAGTGGGGAATGGGGCTGCCCCTGCTTTGCAGACAGCCCTGGTAGGGGCCTGCCCATCACAGGTGCATCAAGGGAGCATCTGCCTTTGGAGTCTCTGCAGCCCTAGAGAGCCTGCACCTCAGCAAAGCAGCCGTCCCAGGAAGCTGTTGTGGGTCCCAGCATGAGCTCGCTGGCCAGAGCTCCAGTCAGGCGTCCCTCAGCGCTCTGCTGACACGTGGTCCCTCTCTGGCCGGGTCAGGGGGCCTAGGGGCCGGGCACACCCATTTCAAGGCCACTACTGGAACCTGTGCTGCGCCCCGCCAGCCCGTCACTGTCCAGCCCAGCCCCTGGTGGAAGTAGATTCTTTAATGATAGTTACACCTTAGAAAGGATCTAGCTGCAGCTGATTGTCAGACTTGTACAGTTTCCATTAAAAAATATAAACTCTAGAGAGGCTCCTGCCCGCTGTGAGGGACAGGACGGAGCTGTCCAGTGCTACTCTGGACTCCTGCCAGCAGCAAAGGTGGCTGGCTTCTCACACATATTGCTGCTTCTTCTTGGTGGCCGCCTTGCTGGCCAGGTCCTTGGCTTTCTCTGTGGCTGCTAAGGCTGTCTCCTTGGCCTTCTCAGTGGCCTCCTTCGCCGTCTCCACCAAGGTCTTGGAGGGAGCTTCTCCTACAATGAGGAAGTGTAACCCAGCTGTGTAGCCCAGCAGGTCTCCTCCCCTGCACTCCCCAGGATCTCGGAGGGCTGCAGCACTGCCCAGATGGAAAGGTTCCTCTTGCTGATACAAGCAGTCGCAGCCTCCCTGGGGCTGGAGCCAGTGTCCCTGCACAGCAGGGTGTGTGCACGCACCACTTCCTTTATTGGCTTCAATAGCCACCCTCCCCACACCTTGCTGCGGGCCAGCTGTTAAACCCACGAGAGCAGAGGTCCCCAAACTGTGGGACGCGCCGCCCAAGGGGGGCCAGAGAAACGTTCAGGGGTGTGTGGCTGGGGGCCCAGGCCAGCTCCCACGGGGGCAGGGAGGGAGCACCCCCTAGCTCTGCTCCTGGCCCCGCCCCCAGCCCCGGCCCTCGTACCTGTCCACGTCCGGCGGGGGGAGGGAGGGAGGGACCACTGCACTAGAGGAATGCAGAGAGCAGGGCCAAGTTTGTGATTCCTCCGGGCCACTCAGCCTAACACATCAGGGCGTGCTGCTGACTGCCGGTTCCACTGGGGCTTCCAGTGAGGCCAAAGGGAGTTGGGTGCCCATGTTAAAGGTGAGGGCAGCTGCAATCCAGAGGTGGATGCAGGGCTGTGACATCAACAACCACCCTTGGCTGGAAAATCATGTTGCCATCCCCAGTCCCATCTGCTGCCAGTGCAGGCCCCGCCTGCCCCCAGAGGC